GGTTGAGGGAGAGGGGTGGGCGGGGGCCGTGGGTGGGTTGGGGTTGCATGGGGAACATGAGAGGAACATGGGGAATGTGGGGAACATTGATTTAACTTCCACTTCCCCACTAACCCCTCAGTTACCGTCACTATTCTCTTTAGGATTTCACGTTTATTTGAGGGTTAAATAAACATATTTAACAGTATCAGTTCAGCCGTTTGTAAAATAAAATTAGATTTAATAATGTTAGTAGAATTGAACACGAAAGTCTTCTCAAACCTATAAATTTGTTCACTTTAAAACGACAATAAGTCTGTTATAAATATAATTTTATAAAATAGAATTAGTATTCATAACTTTTTTAATTCATCTTATTAAGAAAAAGACCACATGTGACGTCATAGTTAGAATTGCAAACAAATGCTGAAAAGGTGGAAAATTTTCCGAAAATTCTTATTTCTCTATTTCAAAAATAGAAATTTGTCGAATTTGAAAATATAATTTTGGGAACTATATAATTTAATATAATTTTTTTATATAGTTACCAAAAAAAGCTGAAAGACTCAGCTTTTTGTATGAAATGTATTTTGTAATCTCGCAGAAGAAATGATTGGAATCTTGATCAAAAAGTGATCAACTTTTTGCCCTTGTATGGGTCATCCGGACTCACTTTTGTCACTTAAAAAGGCGTATCAGTGCTACATTCTCTGCTAATTATTTGGGTAAGAAAATGTGTCAAAATGTTGACAATATTACCCAATAATTTTCCAGAGGGAATGCATGGTGCATTTGGTAGCTTAGAGTGAACACCGAGAACAATTGGTGTGTCAAATTGTCTAATTAGTGACACACTTGCTGCTTGAGCACCGAAACGACCTTATTTCAAGCCAAATTAATTCGAGGTGTCTATATGAAAGAAAAATGTGCATCGCTAATTGGACAAAGTGTCCATGTTTCTCTGAGTGTAAGACGAGAAGGCGTAGGGCAACCTGCCAACAAAACACACATTGCAATATCACTACACTACACAAACTATACATGTGTACTGTGTAGGAGTACTTACAGCGAACGGACGTAGGAATACACTTCACCTCCTCCTACTTTACTACGTCGTATCTTACGTTCTTAATTTAAATGAAAAACACGGCAACCACAAAACAGGTGAACCAGAACCCAAGGTCGTGGGCGGCAGCGCAGCACCAGAGACACACAACCTCTCACGACGTCGCCTCGGCGGACACTGAACAGAAAACGGGAAATTGTTTCTCCCGCCTGCCAGAGGCGCGAGCATCCTGGCCGCTGATTGGCTCATTGTTTCTCCCGCCTGCCAGAGGCGCGAGCATCCTGGCCGCTGATTGGCTCGTCGCTCGGGAAATTGTTTCTCCCGCCTGCCAGAGGCGCGTGCATCCTGGCCGCTGATTGGCTCATCGCTCGGGAAATTGTTTCTCCCGCCTGCCAGATGCGCGAGGAATCCTGGCCGCTGATTGGTTCGTCGCTTGAGGGTCACCAAAAATCTTCTAAATTCGCGCTAATTACTTCATGTGTTTCGGTGCAGGCTTCCGCTTGGCAGTCGTTCGCATTAATTATGCAATCGTGATGTTTGTTCTGATCTGCATTGACGTGGAGGTTTATATGCAGAGCTTCGATGTTTGTTTATAATTTACATTGATACTGTTTACGTCACACATAGACGATATCAGGGTAATTAAAATTGATTGTTTGATATATTTTACATAATGATTTTATTATAAAATATAAGAATCTGTAAAAATATAATAATTATGTTTCTTATATGTTTTAAAAAATAATAATAACGAAAATTATAAACATTTTATCATTAAAAATAAAATATTTATAACTAATTATTGTTTTGATATAGAAAAAATATAGATTTATAACTATAGATGCATAAATAATTTTTTTAAGGTAGTACTTCTTTCGCTCTTTTTCACTCGTTTTCGATGCGCCACTCAAAGAAATCATGAAAATTTTTCCAGGCAATTTCAACATTCAGGATTTCCCAAAATATACGAAAATATATATAAAAAAATTATCACTCAATATTTATCAATTGCAACCGATTAAACGAAAATAAAATATATAATAAAGAAATGAATATAAGATGCGTGGCCGGCAGCTACAGCGGAAGTAACGGCGGCTGTGATTGGCTGGGGGCGATGACGTCACTGATGACGTCACGTGTTGAGGCTTGATTGACCCTTAATTAATAGACACATTACTTAACCCTTAATTAATAGACACATTACTTAACCCTTAATTAATAGACACATTACTTAACCCTTAATTAATAGACACATTACTTAACCCTTAATTAATAGACACATTACTTAACCCTTAATTAATAGACACATTACTTAACCCTTAATTAATAGACACATTACTTAACCCTTAATTAATAGACACATTACTTAACCCTTAATTAATAGACACATTACTTAACCCTTAATTAATAGACACAGTTATTTTAAAAATTTGCAAACGATTTTTCTAAATTTTTTCCGACAGTTGAAAAAATTCTAAATATGATTAAGTTTCATCAAACCATAAATTTCATTTTATATTAAATTTATATTAAATTATTTTATATTAAAGTTTTGAATTCATTGTAAGTTTTGAAATTATTTTATATTAATTTATATTAAATCTAAAATATTCATTTAATTATCGAATAATAAAATTAATACATGTGTATACATAAAATTGTGTGTTATTTGTGGTTACCACATTCATGTTGAATACAGTACAATATTTTTGCCGATTCAAATCTTCTGTTATTTATTGTTATGTATTATGTATTATAAAATTTTATGTGTTGTTTGAATGGTTATGTATACATTATTGTGTTTTCTTATTTATTCTGTATCATAATTGAATAACATTGTATTATAACGCAACGATCACTATCATGCAAGGGCGATGGGTTATCATCCATCATCGTAATCCATCACTATCATCCATCACTGAGATCCATCACTATCATCACTATCATCCATCACTATCATCCATCACTATCATCCATCACTATCATCACTATCATCCATCACTATCATCACTNACGTTAACGTTTCAACAGTTCTCCAATGTAAATAAATTTGATATTTCTCTCTGAGAGAGCAACGTGCGTCCTAGGCTATCACATTTGTGTTATGTTGATTACAGTTTTATATATCAAATATTTTTTTATTTATCAAATATATCAAATATTTTTGCCGATACGAATTTTCTGCTATTTATTGTTATGTATATAATATTAAGTGTTTGTTATTCTATTCTGTATCATCATCGAATAACATTGGATTATAACTTAACGATTATCTATCAGGGCGATGGGCTATCATCCATCACTGAGATCCATCACTATCATCTCTTCTTATCGTCACTATCATACATTATTGTCTTTCAGTATTTTATTCTGTATCATCATCGAATAAAATAGCATCATAACCAGATGATCATCTATCAAGGGCGATGAGCTATCATCCATCATCGCAATCCATCACTTAATCCATCACTGTCATCTCTCACTATCATCCATTAAAATCATCTCATTATCGTCCATCATTGTGATCTATCACTGTCATTTCTCACTATCATCTCTTATTATCATCACTATCATCACTATCATCACTATCATCACTATCGTCCATCACTATCATCACTATCATCATAATAATGACGGTACAGGGGGCTGTCAGCCCACAGCTGGTTGGTGAGCAGGTAGACCAGGGGTCTGAAGTGGGCGCAGGCCCCCACGCGGGGCCCGGGGGGCACCAACGCCCCCTGCAGCGCTGCCGCCAGCGCCCCCCTGGCGCCCGTCAGCTGCCATGATGCCCACGTTGCGTGGAACTTCTGAAATGGGCGACAAATGGGCGTGGAAGGGGTGTAAAATGGGCAGGAAACAGGTGTATATAGTGCGGAAAATGGGAGGGAAATCGGTGAAGAATGGGCGGGAAATGGGTGGTGAATGGACATTAAATGAGCGGTAAATGGGAGGAAAATGCCGTTCAAATAGGCGTGAAATGGGCGGAAATTTGGTGTAAAATGTGCGTCAGGTGAGTGGCTTATGGACATTAAATGTTCGAGAAATAGCCTTCAAATGGGCAGAAATGGACGGTAAACGTTCATCGAGTGGGCGTATGATGACTTACGACCATCTCAGGGTGGGCGCGGCTGACGAAGGCGCCCCCGATGCCGTGGACGGCGTAGGCGCCGCCCTGTAGAAGGGCGGGGCAGCGCTCCTGCGTCGCCTCGCACATCGGCCACCTGAAGTTCCAAGGGCAGGGGAGGGGGTGGAGCAGGGCGGGGCGCTGCGGGAGTGGGCGGGACTTTAGGGGTGGAGCAGGGCGGGCGCTGCGGGGGAGGGAGGGACAGTAGGGGTGGAGTAAGGGCAGGGAGTTATGCCCCTTGAACAAAACAAATGGAATATAGCTCAACATTTTAAATGAAAAATTTTATTAATATAAATCCACAATTTAAATTCGCGGATGCAGTTTCATCCTCCAGTGGATACATATAATTTAGATGCTCTAAAAAATAAGAGAGTCCTTTTGTCCACATAGTGACTCACTATCTATCCCACAACATGAGCAGAGAGAGCGGTCGTAGCTTTGATACGCCGGGCTATACCGGGTCAGGATGACATACATAAGTGCAATAGGGCATCATTATTCGGACAAGGTCTCCCTCACTTCTTTGAGTGTAAGGCAAACTACCAAATGTTTGGTTGACCCAGCCAACCAATCAATTGGTTGACCCAGCCAACAATCACCTGGCCCGGCCAATCACCTGGTTGAAGACGTGGTTGAGCAGGTCCTGGTGCTGCCAATCACCTGGTTGAAGACGTGGTTGAGCAGGTCCTGGTGCTGTCTCTTATACACATCTAGATGTGTATAAGAGACAGGTGTAACTNTAGGGGGTTGCCTGTAGGGGGTTGCCTGTAGGGGGTTGCCTGTAGGGGGTTGCCTGTAGGGGGTTGCCTGTAGGGGGTTGCCTGTAGGGGGTTGCCTGTAGGGGGTTGCCTGTAGGGGGTTGCCTGTAGGGGGTTGCCTGTAGGGGGTTGCCTGTAGGGGGTTGCCTGTAGGGGGTTGCCTGTAGGGGGTTGCCTGTAGGGGGTTGCCTGTAGGGGGTTGCCTGTAGGGGGTTGCCTGTAGGGGGTTGCCTGTAGGGGGTTGCCTGTAGGGGGTTGCCTGTAGGGGGTTGCCTGTAGGGGGTTGCCTGTAGGGGGTTGCCTGTAGGGGGTTGCCTGTAGGGGGTTGCCTGTAGGGGGTTGCCTGTAGGGGGTTGCCTGTAGGGGGTTGCCTGTAGGGGGTTGCCTGTAGGGGGTTGCCTGTAGGGGGTTGCCTGTAGGGGGTTGCCTGTAGGGGGTTGCCTGTAGGGGGTTGCCTGTAGGGGGTTGCCTGTAGGGGGTTGCCTGTAGGGGGTTGCCTGTAGGGGGTTGCCTGTAGGGGGTTGCCTGTAGGGGGTTGCCTGTAGGGGGTTGCCTGTAGGGGGTTGCCTGTAGGGGGTTGCCTGTAGGGGGTTGCCTGTAGGGGGTTGCCTGTAGGGGGTTGCCTGTAGGGGGTTGCCTGTAGGGGGTTGCCTGTAGGGGGTTGCCTGTAGGGGGTTGCCTGTAGGGGGTTGCCTGTAGGGGGTTGCCTGTAGGGGGTTGCCTGTAGGGGGTTGCCTGTAGGGGGTTGCCTGTAGGGGGTTGCCTGTAGGGGGTTGCCTGTAGGGGGTTGCCTGTAGGGGGTTGCCTGTAGGGGGTTGCCTGTAGGGGGTTGCCTGTAGGGGGTTGCCTGTAGGGGGTTGCCTGTAGGGGGTTGCCTGTAGGGGGTTGCCTGTAGGGGGTTGCCTGTAGGGGGTTGCCTGTAGGGGGTTGCCTGTAGGGGGTTGCCTGTAGGGGGTTGCCTGTAGGGGGTTGCCTGTAGGGGGTTGCCTGTAGGGGGTTGCCTGTAGGGGGTTGCCTGTAGGGGGTTGCCTGTAGGGGGTTGCCTGTAGGGGGTTGCCTGTAGGGGGTTGCCTGTAGGGGGTTGCCTGTAGGGGGTTGCCTGTAGGGGGTTGCCTGTAGGGGGTTGCCTGTAGGGGGTTGCCTGTAGGGGGTTGCCTGTAGGGGGTTGCCTGTAGGGGGTTGCCTGTAGGGGGTTGCCTGTAGGGGGTTGCCTGTAGGGGGTTGCCTGTAGGGGGTTGCCTGTAGGGGGTTGCCTGTAGGGGGTTGCCTGTAGGGGGTTGCCTGTAGGGGGTTGCCTGTAGGGGGTTGCCTGTAGGGGGTTGCCTGTAGGGGGTTGCCTGTAGGGGGTTGCCTGTAGGGGGTTGCCTGTAGGGGGTTGCCTGTAGGGGGTTGCCTGTAGGGGGGTTGCCTGAAGGGGGGTTGCAACTTTTAAAATAGGGGGGTTACATCTAGGGGGGTTATATCGCCGTGCCCACCGCGGCCTCCTGGGCCCCCCGCTGGATCATGGTGGGGGCGGCGCCCCCCAGGACGGCGTGGGGCCCAAAGGCCCGCAGTTGGGCCCACAATAGATCAGGTGGGGCCAGGAAGATGACGTCCGTGTCGAGGTAGATGACGGCCTCCTCGTGGGGGAGTAGATGAGGTAGAAGTAGACGCTGGCAACTGCACGGCCGGAACTTGTCCTCCAGTAGACGTAGATGAGGGGGTAGATCCCCCCACGTGGGGAGGTACTGGGGGGGCATGTCTACTTACAGGGCAGTAGATAATGGGGTTTCTACTAGGATCTACTGCGAGGTAGAATTGTCTACTTACAGATAAAATGTAATTATATATATGGTTTTATATATTTATATATCTTATAAATACTTTTTTACAATTTATTGTCAAGCTCTACTAATAGTATCGTGGTAGATCTTATCTACCACACATAATAAGCTATCTACATATTATGCCTCTAAATATTCAGTATGCAATCTGCATATATTACATATCTATTTACAGGCACTATTTTATAATATTTAATTAACGTGCGAGTAGATCTACAATAAAATATTGCAATTGATGATGAAAGTAATACATGAAATAATAAATTTGTTCTTCCCATTAACCTGTCACTAATGGGTTGCTTCCATTAACCCATTAACCCAGTACATATAACAGTAACTTATTACCCTATCACTAATGGGTCACCCCATTACCCCATTAACCCATTAACCCATTAACCCATTAACCTGTCACTAATGGGTCACCCCATTAACCCATTACATATAACAGTCCCCCATTACCCTGATACTAATGGTTACCCCATTAACCTGTAGGTCCAGTTTGAGGCGGTGGTGGGGGGGCCAGGGGGCGATGGCGCCCCCCAGGCGGGTGTACAGGAGGAGGTCGTCTGTCACCACGTAGAACCTTAACAATTATATTAATATTAATTATATATATTAATATATATTTTAATTAATTTTTATTTAACCCTTAATTTCCCTTTGCTTAACCCCTAATTAATTATATTATAAAATATATTAATATTATATATATTTATTTATATTTTTAATATATATATTTATAAATGTATATTTATTAATATACTATATATTAATATACATTATTATTACCAATAATATTAATATTATTGCTACTAATATTAATGATATTATAAAATAATGGATCTATATAGTGTACAATATTTCTTTATTTATCATTAAATCTTTATCACTAAAGACGAGCTTAATCTTTATCTTTTTCATCGGGGCAACCCCTGATATAAAATAATATATTAACAATTAATATAATATAATACAATATAATATTAATTATTAATATTACAGTGTGATGATATAATATTATAGATAATATAAATCGTTATCTTTATCATTATTATTTATTTAAGCTATCAAATTAATTAACAATAAATCGTTCCATAATTTCATATTGAAAAAGTGAAAATAAAATTTAAAATATTTGCATTTAATTATTGGTAAGGTGAATATATATTATGGCCCCGTGACTGGCCCCGTGACTGGCCCCGTGACTGGCCCCGTGACTGGCCCCGTGACTGGCCCCGTGACTGGCCCCGTGACAGGCTCACCGTATGGCCCGTGNTGTTTTCTAGCGTTTACCACTTGTTTTCTAGCATTTACCACTTGTTTTCTAGCGTCTACCATTTGTTTTCTAGCGTTTATCAATTGTTTTCTAGCGTTTACCTCTTGTTTTCTAGCGCTTACCAATTGTTTTCAAGCGTTTACCACTTGTTTTCTAGCGTTTACCACTTGTTTTCTAGCGTTTACCACTTGTTTTCTAGCGTTTATCACTTGTTTTCTAGCGTTTACCACTGGTTTTCTAGCGTTTACCACTTGTTTTCAGAATTTTCGACTTTCATCAATATACAAATGGTATTAAGTGCTACGTGAACCACCCGGTTTTCCGAAAACACCTGCGATGGGGTTAGTGAGGGGACTAGTGGGGGTAATTTGGGGGTTAATGGGGAGTTAGTTGGGGGTTAATACAGCCCCCCTTGCCCAGGGGGGGATGTAGCCACCCGAGGGGCGCTGCCCCCTTCACTTGTGCAGTGGACGTCGTGGTGTAACGTTGGTCTGGTGCTTAAATTTGCTATAAAAACTTAAACAATACTAATTAAAATTTTTCTCCACTTAAATTTGTTATAATAACTTAAACAATACTAATTAAAAATTTTTCTCCACTTAAATTTGCTATAATAACTTAAACAATACTAATTAAAAATTTTTCTCCACTTAAATTTGCTATAATAACCTAAACAATACTAATTAAAAAAAATTTTCCGCTAGCTTCGTCCGGTGTTCAATAATTTATGTTAATAAAAAGCGTATAAAGAATACTAATTAAAATTTTTTCTCCACTATCTTCTTCTGGTGTACAATAACATATATTATTGAACAAAATTATTAATAATTAATATATATATTAATAGAAGTATAGTTCTCAGGGCAATATGGTAGCTTTTCTCCCCCTCATTTTTGTGGGTGTCTTGACAGCGCTGTCCATGGAGGCCCAGGTAATAAAAATTATATGTAGTTCATCAATAATATTGTTTTCTTTTATATATATATAAAATATATATATAATAAATATATGTTACACGCAAAATTATTGGATTACAGTTTTCTTCATATCTCAAGTTGACGTGCAAGATAATATTTTACCTAATACTTGGTCACTTTATTGCAAATGATACTAGAAACATTGTATAGAATGGATATTGAAAAGTAAGCAGTGTTTAGATTTATTAAACAAAATAGAAAAATTAACCCAAGCATAAGTATTGGGTACATGTTCAAAAATGAACAAATACAACTTTTTTAAAAATACTAAAAATTCGCATTTCACTTTATACGTTCCACTAATCTCATATCGTTATCTAACTGGCCAATCACATCAGTTAGCCAGTTTGCCATTGTTTGCAAGATTTTGTGTTACGGTGAAGATATTTATCAGCTTCATCTTTAAAATTTAATTTAAAATGCCTAAAAAACTCGAGAGGTGACGCCAGATTGCTTCAAAAGATCATGGATTGTCACAAAAAGGGAAAGGGTATCGAATAATATCAAATGAGCTTATAATCTATCATTAAGTACAATTAGAAATATCATTAGGAAATAATCATCCTGATGATATCATCGATCCGAGCTTGCTGTTGCAAACCTTCCAAGACCTGGTTGTCCAANTGTTCCAGTAGCATTTGTTCCAGTAGCATTTGTTCCAGTAGCATTTGTTCCAGTAGCATTTGTTCCAGCAACATTTGTTCCAGTAACATTTGTTCCAGTAACATTTGTTCCAGTAACATTTGTTCCAGCAACAAATGTTAGTGGAAGTATATATACAAAAACAAAGTATATATTATATATATAAATATATAATATATTAAATATATTAATATATAATATATTAAATATATAAAAAATATATTAAAATATATATATATAATATATCAAATATATTATAATATATTTGTTTATATTTATTTATTTGCTCGCGTGTTTCAGTTAGTACAATATTTTGCGCAATTACATCCAGATAAACTTCAAATATTTCTAAATATACATTTTGAACATCAAACGGTATATAGCATAATAATAGTTAATGAAATAAATAAATTTCCACTAATTTCCATTGAAATGTCTACATTACGAGCCTGATCATATGTTGTCGGGCGATCATCATTATCATTATTATCATTAAAGTATATTAACGATCATTATTATCATTAATGTATTTAATGTATATTAAATTAAGCTTTTTCTTGCCCACAGGCTGGATTGCCTACAGGCCCCACAGTTAATGTGAGTATAAATAACTATAAAAAACACACCTCAATGTAATTGAATATGTCAACCTTCTATTCCTTCCATTCTATTCCTATTCTATTCCATTTTCTTATTCTATTATCCCTATTATTATTCCTATTATTATTATTATTCCTATTATATATTATTTCTATTATTGCAATATTTCTATTTTTTCCTATTCAATTCCTATTCTATTCCAGAACCATTCTATTCCTTCTATTCGGGATACAATTCCTATTCATTTAAAAATGGACGTACATCTTCCAGCAAAAGATTTTTGTAAGCTACTAACCTTATTTAATAAAATATATTATTATACAATATATTAAATATATAAAAAATATATTAAAATACACTTGTCATACTCTTGCTACTACCCTTCTTCTCTTATACTTGTCCTGAGAGTATGACAAGTGTGTCCTGAGAGTATGACAAGTGTGTCCTGAGAGTATGACAAGTGTGTCCTGAGAGTATGACAAGTGTGTCCTGAGAGTATGAC